ATACGCATCGCTACGATGCAGAAGCCGCCCCGCTGCGCAAACGCCGCATTTAGCGAAAACATTGAATAATTGTGCAACATTTTATCTGTCAGTTACGAGGCCGTTGTCTATGCAATACTATCGCATTGGGTTTGCGTCCACATACGTCAAAACCACAGCTTGACCTTGGCAAGACGATACCTGCCGCTAAAAGTTCCTTGCTTAGCACTACGGCCTGGGTTTCTGGGTCGTGTCAACCAAGGCGAGAACCACCCTTGTCGGGCTTAACGTAGTAATGTCGAGTTTGGATACCAAGGGCGAGTACAGCATAAAGTCCACGCCGAATCGTTAGGAAAACCCACGCATACGAGGTGTGTGCTAGGACGATTGCTGGCTGCAGAAGCCTCGACATCTATGTCGGACAATAACTCGCCAGTTTATATGTCGTTAATTATGTTGTTGAGTGCGTCCAAGAACGACCTATCCATCTGTCTACTTGCCGAACGTTAGCGCGAGTATGACGGCGCCGAAGTTATGCGCTCGTGGAGTGCCGGCCAATGCGTCGCCGACAGGTCCGCTAGAAGGCGGCGCATCGTTCATAGCTCAGAGCTTTATTCATGCGCCGCGCCGTAGCTATGGCTGGCTCCTGGGACTGCCGAAGCACAAATAAATTGCAAACATACGCGGGTGTTTAGGGTGTAAAAGAGCAAATCCCGCGAATCGGGGTTCGAACTCGCGACCCCTTCGGGTCATGCGCTGCGCTGTCTAGCCAAGCCCACTATGCTGCCCTCGTCCTCCGCGGTCCATTTTTTGTCACAATGTGCAGCTTTGTGCAATTGTGTCCAACCTATCCCTGAGCAATGTCGTGATAAAAGACAGACATTGGTCAGTCCCAAACGAGGGTACAATATACCGGTACCGGTATATGAGCAGTGGGGACACTGCTTTGCAAGGATGTTGTTTTTAAATCGAGGCGGAGCCAATGGCTTCCATCGCAAACCGCAAGTTACTGTTAAACGTATGGTCGTCACTGCAGTCCATGCGGTCTTCAGCATATGTTTCACACATATGAATCGATGCTGCTGCACGTTGAAGACACCAGTGATCACGATCAAGGGGTCAGCCCTGGTGTAGTGGTTTGGTGTTCCGCAAAAATCGTGCTCGAACGGATAGCAGGCTTTCAAATCTAGCTGCGCTCATGCAAAGCAATCGGCGACCTCCTGCCTTTGCGCGATGTAACCCAACGGAAAGAGCACCGTGCCGAAAACAGTTCGAGATGACCAAGGACGCGCCGCTACTAGCGTAGCTCCAAAGCAAGGCGTACCATAATAAACACCAAGCATACGCCTCGCCATGCTCACCGCCCAACGCCACCGTGTAGAAAAGTAGAAAAAACCATCGGAAACAATATGCTATGGAGTCAATCCAACAACAAAGATCAAGAGGAGACTCCCATAAATTGAATTTATGTCCGCTTGTCACGATCCGCCAAGCAATGCAACGTATAGGACGGAGAAGCTGACTGAGATTGACTTTATCGTACGGCCCATATTCGAAAACTAGTACATGTACGAAGTATTTGTTTTGAAACTCGCAAACCATTGTTCTTTCATTCCAACATAATCCATCTAGATATTCAACATGAGCAAGTACATGGCGTCTTTAACCTCTTGTACGTATTGTATGTACATATTGCCTCACGCCACGTGAGGCACGAGCCTTGCCGAAACTACAGTGCTAAGGATCAGAGTTGCCGGCCAGGCAATAGTAGATACTATAGTAGCCGTAGTTGAACAGGATAGTCAGGTCCCACATCTTTGAATAGTAAGCTTATTCATTTTTGGGCTGTTCGTCGAGCTGGACATAGAAACCAAAAACGAAATGAAGGGAATATGCCGGGCTGGTGGAAATCAACGTGGTGCACCACAACCTCTCTTGCTGCCCGTAGCTTTGGTACATTGCGATGTCTTCTCGATCGATGCCATTTCTTCGATGAGACAAGTTGACAGTTCCGTTTCCAAGAAGTGGAAGAGGTTTTCCGCGCAAGGCCGAGCGTTCTAGAAGACCAAGATATGGAAGCACGCACACGTTACAAGATCCAGGCGCAGAGCAAGCGGCTCGAGCCATCCACGAATTTGTAGTATCAGTCAAAAGCTAAGCTTCTGCAAGTACCTTGCTTTCTCACGGCGACATATGCCGCATCTG